ATGGTGTTTACCCGTACAGAGATATAGTAGTAAAAATAACTGATAAAATATAAAGTTTTTCTAAAAATATGTTTGATACTTATCTGGAGGTTATAAAGATTTTGCAGGTGAAATTTGAAAATTTTCTGATGCATAAAAGTATTTTTAATCTTAAAATCAAAATTACTTCGCATTTTTGATAGTCAACATGTGAAAAGAAAAAAGCATAAGAAAAACATTACTTACGAAATCTTAAAATGTTATAAAAAAATCTGATATCTTGTGTATGAAAGCCTTGCAATGTTTACTGATAATATGCAAAATTTAATGAAGATATGCTTACTACTTTAAAAGTTATAGCATGAAAACTATAACAAGCATAAACTGGTTATGAGGTCGGACCGAGCCTGTGCTGAAAAAGTTATTTGAAATCATATTGTTAGTTTATTTGCTTGATCTAGAACCTCAATTAACTAATGAAAATAATTAAAATTAATGAAAAATTAACTACTCTAAACTTGATGTATTTATTCAAGATAAAAATTGTGTTCTGTTTTCTTTCTCATGGGCCAGGTGTGGCCTAGTGGTAATTGTGATAGATTGTGGATCAGAATTTCCTTGTTCTGCCTTATTTTATAAACCTGTGTCAATACGTTTGGTATCAAATTTTAGATTATAATTCAAATTTTAGTATTATATATTAGATAGTTTTTAAAGTTGAAACTAAATATATAAAAAAAGGCTAAATATTGATTTTTGTGTGTCACATGGTACGTGACCTTCTGGGTTTGATCAGATTACATTTTATGATGGCCACAATACAACATCTAGAGTTCGTATGAATTAGAATCTCAAATGTTCGATATTAGCAACATAGAATATAAAATAAGAACCTCCTACATTTTCTGTTTGCTGAGATATCATGATATTTAGTGAACCCACCATATTGGCTCCACCCACCACTTCATCATTTGAGAAGACTTATTTATCTGTGCCTACTTTTATATACCAATAATTTTACAATCAATCAAAAGCTATATATTTATTCATAATTTGTCAGTCTTTCTAAGTTATTTATGAGAGAAATGCTCTTATATCATTGAAAAGTTTGAAGTATTGCTATCAAGGCTATTTTGTGAATACAAATTATATTTTTTTAGACCCAAATACAGTTACAGTGGATTATTGGGGTGTTGGTATAGTAATTTATAATTTTTTCGTATTCCAAAATGCTTATATAAAGTCTACAAAAATTATTTTTCCAACTCCATGTGTGAATTTGGACGAGACTTAGCAAGTACGGTTCACGAGTGCAAACAGACTTCGTAGCATCGTAAGCAATAGAGATCATTGTTTTCCAAATATTCTTTATTTACTGTTTTATGCTTGTAGAAAAATAACTGATATTTAAGTATTTATTTGAAAACATTAGTTATGTGTATGTATGTATAAAATTTTTCAAATAAACTGTATTACATCAAAAGCGTACAATGTATAGCCCTGACAAAAGTTATAATATAACGTACAATTGTAGATTATATATATATATATATATATATAACATATGGTAGCTAATATGTTACTGTATTTTACAAAGTAAGAAGTTTTGTTATTTTTCTACTTGTTTGCATTGAGGTAGAAAAAAAGCAAATTATACAAAACTAAAGACTTGGCAATTCACGAAAAGTTTATGAAATTTTTGAAAGTCTAAGAAATAAATTTATAACTGATCAACTGATCTTAACACATGAAAAGGAACGTCTTTACATAAACACCCAGTTGAACTAGCAGTTTGTTGGTGAATGATTTGTTTCTCAAGTTACAATCAAGAAGGCTAAGCCAAGAATACTAGCCTAACCAGAATGAGCCATATTTATATTACTGGAAACTACACATTTATTGGTTACTGTTTTAGCATGGTAATATAGGAAACAGGATCTCCGTGAGCATTTACATAAATTTACAACTATACCAATGCTAAATTCCAAACACCAAGTAAGATAATTAGCGAGTTTATTGGATAGTATACAACTTTATACTTTGTACAGAGCCATGTCATAAATATTTTCTCTCACTTTTATAAAGTACTGTAGACAACAACTGTTTGTAAAGAAGTTGGCAAATTCTATTCAACTGTGTTCTCATAGCAGTGATCCGAATAGTGCGTGTGCACTGTGTAATTTTTAACTTCTGTTGGGGTATTTTTAGTCAGACACAGTTCAAAGGTCAATAAAACAAAAATTAATAAATATAGATATATTTATACTGTTAAGAGATTTAAGCTATTTAAAATAACATTTGTGGTTTCATATTACAATTTGCAGTTATTCTAGTACAAAAAAGTAATTTAGATTTATTTCCTAATTTTTATGATGGTTACAAGGTCAGTCAAATCGGTCAACACCATATAGAGTTAATATTGATAAAATAACAGATTAAATGTAAAATTTTATTTAAAAAAACGTTTGATTATGTAGAAGGATATAGAGATTACGCAAATGAAACTTGACAAATTTCAGCTACAGAAAAGTATTTTTAATCTTACAATCAAACTTGCTTTGTACGCTGGATAGTCAACATTCTGAAAGAAAAAATTCACAAGCAAATCTTTAATAAAAAAATCTTAAAACATAATTCAAAAACCAGATATTTTGTGTATGAAATCCATGTAATGTTTACTAATAATCTGCAAATTTTTTAAAGACTTGCTTACATTTTCGAAAATTATAGTACAATTACTCTCATAGACACCTTCCTGGTTATGAGCTGGTTGGATTCCACTCAGTCTGTAATGGAAAAGTTAATCACTAGTATGAATTATCACCATCATCCATGATTACATGAGGAGAGACATGCCCATAAGTTGAGACAGCCATATGCCTATAGAAACATACATTTAAATCATGGCTATGACATATTACCCCAATAAAACTGTGATTATGAGATAAATTCTGTTACACATTTATAGGCATGTGATTATTCACAACAATTTAAATTCTAATTTAAATACTAAACACTGTTTAAGCCTATAACATCACCTACAGTTTAGCAGTCTGTTTTGCACAAAACATTGTTAGTGAACTTGTGACCAGGATAATGCTGTTTTTAGTAACTTCATTGAATACAGGTTGACTGTTTGTCGAAATCTTATAACTTCTGTCCCTTAAAACAAAGATGAAGCTTACAAAGTTAACAAAATGCATGATACATTATTTTCTGAGACAATATCACACCTCCAAACACAGATTAGCTATCTTCCCCACATGCTTTCGTGTTCTACCAAAAAGATTTGCATAATACTAGCCTTGTGGAAACTCCCACCTAATTTCACATGATGTCCCACCATTGCATGATGATGTCATCATGTGATAAATGTCCTCCACCAATAAAAGGGTGACACAACATCCATGTGTAGTAACTCCCCTTATGCCATTGCACTCATGGTAACTTCAATATCTTCTTTGGCACCTTTGCTGAGATTTGCAACATTTCTTCTGTTTCAGTTTACTTGTACTCAGTATGAATTCACAACTTAATGAGAATTTGTTTACTTCTGGTGTGAGTCAAGTACATCTTCACACAGAAAATAATACATCAATGGCTAGAATCCGTGTTTCAATACCCGTGGTGGACAGAGCACAGATAGTCTATTGTGTAGCTTTGTGCTTAATTACAAACAAACTACATCAATGGCTGCTGGAAGTTCTTTAACTGAAGAAGGTGTGATGGCCATTGTCCAATGTGTGGTGGTCCATCATGCATCCTGGACCCTCTGCTTCTGTACATTCTTTTAACTTCTGCAATTTCAAACCTGACATTGAAGAGGACAAATTTCAATGCTTTTTTTCACCTCCTAGCTTTGCATTGGGAAAACTGTACCAAATG